GCAGCTGCTCCCACTTCTTCAGCTGAGCTGGGAGCAGGCCAGCCCTGGGGGCCTTTCCTGGGGAAGTGAGTGGTGCTGAGTCAGTCAGTGGGTGTCGACATCCCCTTTGAGTCACTGCTTGCACCGGGAGAGCTGGGGGCTGGGCCAGAGGCAGGCCTGGCAATCTTCCCGCTCCCACTCATCCCTGGGCTGAATGCCCCCACAAGGCTGGCCCTTAGACAAGCCAAGAGGGTGCCCACATTTGTCTCTGGCACACCCAGCCTTCCTATCAGTCGGTTCTTTTCTCCCCTCTCCCCAACTTCACATGCCCTCTATCAAAGCCTGCTCTTATTTCAATTCAAGAAGCATGTTTACACCGCTGCTGTGTGCGAGGTTGTGGCCATACATAATCTGGGCACGCTAGGCAGCTAAAGAATGTTAGCTTACTAGGCATGAGTTTGTGACAATGATTAATTGTTGAATGGGGAGATGAGGAATGTTGCTGGCCAAAATGCCAGGGTTAACGTACTGTCTGCTTTGTTAGGGACAGCCACAGTGACGCAGGCAGGGGCTTGGGCAGCACCAGCCCAGCCTCTCAAGGCTTGTTGCCTTTTGATCTGGCTCAGATTCATTTGCAGCTAAACCACAGAGGATCTTGAGAACCAGTAATATTTCTAAACATTAGGCTAAGAAGTTCTCTATAGCAGAGGGCTTTGATCTCTGGCTAGACAAAAGGGTTGAAAAAGAAAAACCTCACCCTAGCCTGGGTACATGCTGTCTAGCTTCTGCTAGCTGGACATGCCTGCTCTGTCTGAGGAGCCGTCAGTTTGCCTAAGTCAGGAAGAGGTTTTATCTACTCTACCCTAGCTGACTGAAGCTGAGCTGGCAGAGACCATAAGACAGGCATGGCCCATGAAAGAAGCATACCTGGTGGGCAGCAAGTCTAAGACAGATGCCACGCTCAGCAAGAAGCCCATCCTGTGACCCCTGACAGAACACTGCATTTGGGGAAAAGCAGGCCTGATCCAGCAGCAAGAGGTAGAGAGAGAAATTTCTTTCCAAATAACTGCAGAAAATATAAAATACTTGGGAGTCTAGCTGCCAAGATAAATCCAGAAACTATATGAACACAACTAGAAAACACTTCTCACACAAATAAAGTCAGATCTAAACAATTGGAAAAATATTAATTACTCATGGGTAGGTCGAGCCAATATAGTAAAAATGACAACCCTACCTAAATTAATGTACTTATTCAATACCATACCAATCAAACTACCAACAATTATTTTATAGCGCCAGAAAAAAATGATACATAACAAAATTCATCTGGAAGAACAAAAGGTCAAGAATATCAAAGGAAATAATGAAAAAAAAATGTAAAGGAAGGTGGCCTAGCCATGCTAGATCTCAAATAATCATCTAAACAATCTGATCCTGGCTAAGAAATAAAGTGGCAGATAAGCGGAATAGATTAGGCACACAATATACAGTAGTCAGTGACCATAATCTAGTGTTTGAAAAACCCACTCCAGCTTCTGGGATAAGAAGTCACTATTTGATTAAAAAAAAAAAACTGCTGGAAAAACTGGAAAACGGTATGGCAGAATCCAGGTGTAGACCAACTTATACCATATACCAAGATAAGGTCGAAATGGGAACATGATTTAAACATAAATGGAATAGTTTACCTGTCAGATCTATGGAGAAAGGAAGGATTTGTGACCAAATGAAACAGAGAGCATTAGGAGATGTAAAATGAATCATTTTGATTATATTAAATTAAAAAGGTTTTATACAAATGAAAACAATGGAACCAGATTAGAAGGAAAGCAGAAAGCTGGGAAAATTTTTTTCTTTCTATGCTATTTCATGCTTTGCTTTGAATTAATCATGTCTGACTAGAGAATAAGTAAGTACCTGGTAGGGGCCCAGGAAGTATTACTCTAAGTGGAGACGCCCCCACAGAGTGCCATAAACCTGAAGTAGCTCTTTTGGGAAGCCCCCGTGAAGGGCATGGGCACCACAGATGCTATAGTTGTCTGACAGTCAGTCATGGCCCACACTAGTCTCTGAAGAACTGGAGTTGCACATCACCCAAAGAGCCCTGGCTTAGACTCATGTGGTAGGTCTGAATGTGTATGAAACCCACTCATATGCAAGACTTAGCAAAGAGATGCCAGGTAAAGAGGCAAAGGGCCTGGTCATAGTGCAAGAGCAAGGGGTAGCTCAGATATTCCATTGGTGTCCTCAAAGGGTTCAGAGGATGGGGATCTCCCCAAAATGGCGGTGGGAGCAGGCTCAGAACAGCCCAGCTCTCTCACAAGGACTCCGTTTCCAGCAAAGATGAAGAAAGAGCGGTGATGCAAGTAAGGGCTAAGAAATCCAAGGAGGCAAGATGGAATGTTCCCAGCCCAGAGTGGCCCAAAGAGGCAGCCAGAAGCTTGCCTGCAGGCATTAGGGACCACTCAGCCCAGAGAGCTGAGGATGTTGTATCCACTGAAGCAAGGCTTTGGGAAAAGCAATGTGGGAGGGGCAAGGCTACAATGTTACAAAGAGGCAGCTCCTTGGTGCAATGGCCGGGGCGGGGTGGGGGGGGAGGGCGGGGGAGGGGAGTAAGACCAAGGCTGGAACTAGCTGGGGGAGCATGGGCAGGACCTTGAACTCAGCGTCCTCATCTGTCCTACAGGGGTAAGAGCACTTACCTCCCAGGAATACAAACGCAGATCAAATGAAACGGGCTCTCGTACATGTGTTCTTGCATGGCTCCCATGTGGACAGTGCAACCTCAAATCTCCATAGTGACTGCATCGGTCGGGGCTGGGTAGACCTGACCATTCCAAGGATGGCAGTTGTGAATGTCTTCCTCCCTCCTCCATCCTCCCGACAAGTGCTTCCATCCCCCTCTCAGCCGAGGACCTTGCTTCATGCTTGCCCCAGAAAATAGAGGTGTCCACTGAGAGCCCTTTCTTCTCCCTGTTTCATTGTCTCACAGAGCGTGTCTATGTGCCCCCCTCAGCATCAGCTGTCTCCCTCCTCTCCTCTGCTCCAGTTTCTGAAAAAGGCTGGTCCTGCTCCTGGCCAAGGCCATATGGGTCCCCACTCCTCCCATTTTCTCTCTGTTTACTCCTTCCAGCCTCCCTTCTTTCTCCCTAATTTTCCACTTCTCCACATCTATTGCTGCCTTACCTACCACCTACATACATGCTCAGATCTCTTCCATCTTTAATATGTGATCCTGCCTTAATTTGGTTCTGACAATTAATTCTCTATCTATGGTGCTTTTCAGCAAAATGTAGTTTCCCAGTTTCTTTTAATTAGGTCCATTTTTGCTGTTGCTTTATCTGAGCTTATGATTGCTTACCCCTGCCTTTTTTATTTCTGTTGAAACACAACAGATTCTGCTCCAGCCCTTTATCTGAACTCTATGTTCCTTCTATTTCATGTGTGTTTCTTGTGAATAACATAGTAGACTCTGGTTTCTAATCCATTTTGCTATCTTCAGTTTTACAGGTGAGTTCATTCCATTCATATTCACAGTTGTGATGGTTAATTTTCTATTTTCCTTCATCTTACTGATTTATATTTTCCCTTCTTGCCTCCTTGTTTTGCTTACAAACCTGCCCTTATCTTATGCTCCCACTTTTTAAACCTTTTTTTCTCGTTTCCTTGTTGAATGAAATGTATTTCTTATACCCAGTTGTGTGTATGTATTTTTCCCTCCTCTGACCATTCAAATGACACTAAGTTTCAAGTACCATTCTCTCCAATCCTTCCTTTTTATTAGTATAGATTTCTACTTGAGCAACCCTATTATGTGAGATAATGTTCCTCATCTTCCTTTCCTTTTCTCCTTCTCCAGGAAAGGTATTACTCTTCCCCTCCCTTCCCATTTTTCTTTTAAGGTCATCAGAACATAAAACTACTCTCAGATCTCTCACCTATGGTCCTAAAAGGATAAATGTATCATCTACCCTAATTAGAATGTGTCCTTTTTCTCTTCCGGTAATCTTTTGTGATTGCTCATTCATGTTTGGTTTTGTGTACTTCTCTTGACTCCTGGGTACGTATGTTAAAGTTTATAGGCAGCTCTGATCTTTTCATCAGGAATGCATGAAAGATGTCTAATTGGTTAAACAGCCATTTCCCTTGTTGGATTATATTCAGTCTTGCTGGTTATTCTTGGCTATAAGTCTAGCTCCTTTGCCTTTTGGAATAAAATATTCTAAGCTCTCTTCTTTTTCATTGTGATAGCTGCTAAATCCTATAGGATCCTGACTGTGACTTCTCAGTTTTTTCATTCTTCTTTTTTTTTTTTAATGGCTGCTTCCAATTTTTTTTTGTTTGTTTGTTTGTTTTTTTACCTGGAAGGTCTGGATTTTTGGCTATAATATTCCTGGGAATTTTCATTTGGGGATTTCTTTCAGAAGATGACTAGTGGATCCTTTCTATTTCCACTTTGTCCTCTGATTCCAAGAGATTTAAGAGTTTTCTTGATTTCTTGAAATATGATATATAGACTTCTTTTGTGATATCATTGAGATAGCCAAATTATTCTTAAATTCTTTTTTTCTAAATTTGTTTTCCAGGTCAGTTGTTTTTGTTATGAGATACTTATATTTTCTTGTAAGTTTTCAGTCTTTTGGCTCTCTTTTTAAAATTTCTTGATGTTGCATGAAATTATGAGCTTTTCTTTGGTCCATTCTAATTTTCAGGGAGTTTTTTCCCCTAGGTAATGTTTTGTTCCTCTTGTTCCAAGCCATTAATTTGCTTCCCAATTCTTTCTTCCATAATTCTCATTTCTTTTTCCATGTCTTCCTTTTGGTGCCCTCATTTATTTTTTTTAATCATTTTTAGCTTTTTTTCCCTTTTTTTTTTTGGCAAGGCAAAGGGGTGAAGTGACTTGCCCAGAGTCACACAGCTAGTAAGTGTCAAGTGTCTTGAGGCCAGATTTGGACTCCAGTCTTCCTGAATCCAGGGCTGGTGCTTTATCCACTGTGCCATCTAGCTGCCCCCTAGCTTTTAAAACAAACAACTCTTTTGTTCTCTCTCTCTTTCTTCTCTGTCTTGGTCTCCTCTCTCTCTCTCTCTGAATAATGATTTGATGTGCTTAGCATTTTTCTTGAGGCTTTGCTTCTACCTGGAGTCATTTTCTTCCTCTGGGTTTGTGGCTTGACTATGTTTGCCAACATCCTAGCTCTTTAGGATAAGATTCTTTTTGGTTTGCTCCTTTTTTATAGTCGGTTTCCTGACTTTGAACTTGATGTTAGAGCCTGGCCCTGCACATTTCTGGGGGAATTCTGAGCTAGCCTTTTGTCCTCTTGGACAGTTTTTTTGAAGTATGGAGTGTCATGTTATTCCAGGCTGGCACCTGCAAGCTTTCAGAGCTCTAGTGGGAGATCCAGAGCAAAGTCTGGTCACTGCCTTCCTAGTTTACTCTGCAAGCTCTGATGGCTTGGTCTGAACAAAACTACTGTGGGCTGGTCCCTTGTAGGAGGGGCCAGTAGGCTGTTGCTGGATTCCACCATTATCAGCCCCCTGGACAGCTCTGCAGGTTCAGGGTGACAGAGATACAGCTCTCCTCCGGTCTGGAACCCCTGCCCTGCTTGTTCCTTTGTTGGCTTCTGACTGGGCTGGAGGCTGGACTGGAGGCCCTGCTCTACTCCTGGGGTAGTACACAGCTTAAGGCCCTGGACCACTCCTCACTCTGGAATAACGCTGCCAAGCACTGGTCCTCTCCTGGTCTACCCTGAATCCATGACTTGGAGCTGTGTAGTGAGAGCCAGAGCTGCCAGGTGGCCCAAGTTCAGAGCCTGAAAGGCCTCTTCCTGCCCTGGTGCATGGCACCGGACCACTCCATGGGATGTCCCCCTAGCCAGACAGCATTGCTATTGTCTGCAGACCCCTCGGGCGGTCTGCCTGTACCAGCCTGAGCTGGAAAATTGATCACTGTGATTTTTTTTCCCTTAGATTTCCAGATCAGCACTTGGTCTGGTCACTAGACTATAGTGCATTGTTCAGATGACTGCAACAGGTTGTGCCAGAAAACCTAAGCCAACTCCTTCTGGCTGCCTTTCTGACATTGACTCCACCCCGGCCCAGGGGCAGAGGGGAAAGTTTAAGGTAGAAAGTGAAAAACAGAGGAAGGGGCAGCATTCCCTTTTCCAGCCCCTGCCTTTGGAAGGTGAGTGTGTGTCTGTTCTTCCCAAACCTTACCATTCCTCTCCCAGCCAAAAGACCTACTCAGTCAACTTGGGTGGCTCCCCGTCACCTCTAGGATCAAATACAAATTGCTTTGTTTAGCGTTCAAGGCCCTTCACAAACCAGCCCCCTTCTACCTCTCCAGTCTTCTCACACCGTATAGCCCCTTATGTACTTTTTGGTCCAAAGACACTGGCTCCTGGCTGTTTCATGCAGGAGGCATTCCATCTTTTGGCTCTGGGCGTTTTCTCTGGTTGTCCCGTGCCTGCAATATTTTCCTTTCTCATCTATTCTCGGCTTGCTTCAAGCCCCAGATAATGTCCTACCATGCACAGGAAACCTTTCCCACTCTCTCTAAGGCTAGTGCCTTCTGTCTGGGGGTTCTCTCCCCTTGGTTCTGTCTGTATCTTTGTCCAGAGCTGTTGGGACGTTGTCCGGCATTAGACTGGAGCTCCTTGGGAGCAGGGGCTGGCTTTTGCCCGTCTTTGTAATGTTGAGCACGTCTTCGAGTTCATCCCCCTGGCTCCCGGCTCTACACTCGAAGGATACTTTGGCTGCTTCCCATGCCCCTTCACTGGTCTACCGGGACTACTGCATCATTTGACCCAGAGACCAGTTTAAATTCGGTTTTGGGGGAACTTGTTCAGAACAAATCAAGGCCATGAGGCTGGTTCTTTCACAAATTTCGAGCCCATGTGGCTGTGTGTGGGTGTGAGATGAGGAAGTGATTCTCTCCTCCCGACATTCAGAGAAGCCCCTTCTCCATCTCTCTAAGTCTCCATAGCATCAGCTGTTGGTGCCTCATTGTCCCCTCGTCCCTATGTTCCTAATTGAGAACGCACAAACGCCACAGATCTGGGAGGACAGTCATCATTTAAGATCGCGAACAGGCCGGCTTTAAAAGGAAATAAAAACCCATCCTCCTTGAGGGAAGTAACTGGCTTTTGCCTCTTTTTGTATCCCCAGCACTTAGCACAGTGCCTGGCCCCTGGCAGGGGCCCAACGAAGGTTTATCGGTTGATTATCCTGATTGCAATCCAGAGTGAGATCATTTACAGAACGCAGACAAAGGCTCCCCGAGAACGCGTGCTTTGGCAGGGAGGGGGTGAGGCTCTTTCAGTCTTGGCCAAAGATCGCAGGGAAACATCGCAGAGTCAGCATCTGGTGTCTGGAGGTGGGGCTGAGAAGGACGCAGCTGCTGCCTGTGGGACTCAGCTTCGCCCAAAGCCAAAGCGGGCTACACAGAAACCTTTCCTTCCCTTAGCGTCCAAGTGATGGAGAGGAAGCCCGGGGTGGCAATGGCCAGCTGGGCTTCCGGATGGTCCCTGCTCCACCCGGTCCCTCCCCTAGGAGCCCAGCGCCCCGCCTGCTGGGACGCCCAAGTAGAAGGGCGGCCACTGGCCCCCAGCCCAGGTCAGAAGATCTCGCTCCACGTCGGGTGAGGAATCCTCCTGGGTTCCCTGAGCGCCTAGGCAAGAACGGGAGCAATGGGAGCAAGAAAGCGAGGGAACGAAAGAGCCGGGGAGGGTGGGGGGGTTCTCCACATCCATGAAGCACCTGTTTGTGCGCCGGGCGCCGGCCAGCCCCTGCCCTGGAGGAGCTCCCACTCTGACCCGGGACGCACCCTGCAAACGGCAGACACAGACAGGCTAAGCAGCAGATAATGAAGAGAAGAAGCCCAGACAGGAGGCCTGGCGGGGGGCGGGGGGGGAGAAAGGAAGAAGGCTGGGGCGCGCACGCGCACCACCGAGGTTAGATACTTGGTAACGTAGGGATCCGGGTCCTGGGAGCCAGTCGCGAACACGTGACAGACGCCCGAGGGTGGGGGGGGGGTGGGTGGGCCCGGTGCGCCTGCTCAGTATGGCCGCTCCCCTCGTCGTCCCCACCCTCTACTCCTCGTGCCCCGCCTCTTCCCGCTGCTCTCGCGACAACTCCCGCCTCCGGACGCGCCGCCGCCCGCCGTTCTCACTTAAAGTCTCGCGATGCTCGCGGGAGGGGCTGCGACCAACATGGCGGACGGTAAGGCGCCCACCGGGTGGGGTGGGGTGGGGCGGGGCCGCTCCGGGACGGTTCGGTTCGAGCTCAGGGCCCCAGAAGGGAGCTCGGGGCGTTAAGGAGGGAGGCCGGAAGGGGCTGGGGGGCGAGGGGGGGGCCCCGCGTGTTCCCTTGGCAAGGCTGCCCCCACCCCCACTCCCAGCTCTGCGCGTGAGCGTGACTGTGCGAGTGTGACAGGGAGTGGGGCAGGGCCTGAATGTGCACAGGTGTGGCCGTGAGTGTGCACGAGTGGGACAGTGTGAGCGTGTCCATGTGTGACAGCGCCCGAGTGTGGCTGTGTGTGAGGGTTTCAGTGATTGTGAGCACGTCAGTATGTGTGATAGTTTGAGAAAGTTGTGAGATGGAGTGATCGGATCGGTGTGTCAGTGATGTGTCTGGGTCTGTGAGTGTATTAGTGGGTGTGACCAGTCTGCGTGTGGTTGTGTGTGTCAGTGAATGGGACAGTTTGGGTGACTGTTGTAGCAGTGAGTGTGTCAGGCTGTGTGGGGGTCAGTTGTGAGCTTGTGTGTCTGGCCAGAGGGGAAGGCATTGGGCCAAGCCGCCCTTTGCTAATAGGATTTCATTTGAGTCTAGCAGTGTCTGTCAGTTTCTGAATGTGAGCATTTCAGAGAGAGGTGTGTGTGTGTGTGTGTGTGTGTGTACCTACACACATTACCCCCCTCTTCCCTCCCATTCCATTTCTCTTCCCTGAAACTTACAAGGGCGGTTCCAGAGGGAAACGAAACTGAGCAGAGTCCTGGAGGGAGGAAGGAGCCAGTTGGAAGGGAGCTGGGAAGTCATGAATGGAGGGAGGGTGCTGAGCCCAGGAAGAACCCGCAGTCCCCAGCCAGCTCCCTGCTTGCCTCCCCATGGGAGGCTTCTCCAGGCCCCTCCCCTGGAGGGAGACTGGGAGGAAAGGCCCCACACCCTCGCCTTATTAGGTGTGAGAGCCTTGGGGCCCTTGTTCCTCTGGGGCCAGATAGGACAAGCTAACCTCACTCACATCCTGGGAGACACCTCCCCCACTCCCCTTGCAGGGCTGTGTCTCTACCTCCCACTTTCCTCCCCAAAAACTTCTCCAGGCCAAGCGGTGCCAGGTTTTTCACTGGCCTTCAGGTCATGTGCTCTTCCTGCCCTCCTCATCCTGGATATTCCCCACCTTTGCAGTGTCCATCCCAGAGGTGGAGCCTAAACTGGACTACAGCCCTTCAGGTGGAGAGGCCACTAGGGGGCTGGTCCTGGGGTGAGGAAGACCCTTCCTTACTAGCTCTGGGACCCTTGGCAAGTCACTTAATGCCTCTTTGCCTCAGTTTCCTCATCTGTAAAATGAAGATAATAATAGCACCCGCCTCCAAGGGTTGAGACGGTCCTTATGGAGGCGTAGTGCAGTGCCTGGCATAATAGGTGCGCGTGGTTGAGGCCTGACCAAGGCAGAGTATACACAGACACACACTCCTCCAGTTCTGCACCTTCTAGGCTGCCCTAAGGGTCCCACTGGTGCTGACTCTCACATAGAGGTGGTCAGCATTAAAAGCCCCCCAGTGGCTTTTGCAGGAGCTGTTTTCTGGCCAGGCCTTCCCCTTGCTGCCCTGGCCAAATGGATTTTTGAAACCAGCCTTACAACATGGCCTTTATCTCTTGAATTGTTGCTTGGATTTTGTTCACCATTCTACGCTGACCAACTCTTCTCGGCTCCTGATCCCAAGTGCCATCCCTGGCTTAACTCTCAGGTCACCTGTCGATTCCACAGGCATTTGTGTGCCTTTATCAAGGTCATTGATAAAAATAGTGGATGTCACCACGATGAAGACGGGTCTCTGACGTCCTCTCTGCAGACCCCTCGCCAACAATAACAGCACTGTAAGGTTTGCAGTGCATGTTACAAATGGGGAAACTGGGTCAGAAAGAGTTAACTGATTTGCCCAGTGCCACACAGCTAGCAAGTGTCTGAGGCCAAATTTGAACTCGGGTCTTCCAGACTCCAGCTGACCTCAACCCATTGCTCATTGGGTCTGGCCATTCAGTCAGTCCTGAATCTTCACCACTTTACCATGTCTAGCCTGAGTCTTTCCAGCTTATCCAGGCAGTCAGTAAGCATTTATTAAGCACCTGCTATGTGCCAGGGACTGTGCTAAGCACCATCTTAGGAGGGGATACCACAAGCAGATAGAGATGTGCAGATAGAGATGTACAGACAGGCTATGGCAGGATAAGTAGGAAATCATCAACTCAGAGGAGCTGGAAATGACTTCCTGTCAAAGGGGTAGGTTTAGTCAGGACTCGGAGGAAGCCAGGGAGGTCAGTGGTACCTTGGAGGAGGGAGAGCGGCCCAGGCCTGGCAGATGACAAAGGAGGGTGGCCGGAGCTGAGAGATGGAGGGGCTGTTTCCGGATGGTGGGGTCACTGGGTGGAAGAGTCCGTGTCTGAGAGTCAGCTGTCAGGATGGAGAGGGGGAGGGCTGGGTGCTTAGGAAGGGCTAAGCCAAGCCACATTTCGTATTTACTTCTGGAGGTTGTTGAGGAGGGGAGTGTTGTGGTCAGGCCTGTGCTTCAGGAAAATCACTTTGGTGGCTGGCTGGAGGATGGCCTGGAGCAGGGAGAGCCTTGGGGCAGGCAGCCCCCCTGTGCCAAAGTCCTGGATTCACAAATCTCCTGGTGTTTACTTGCTTCTTTTTCCCCTGGCTCAAATGATCGCATATGGTTCAAATGCTTGGGTGACCGTCACATTTCTCCAGCCCTGGACTCTGTCCCCTGGGCACCAGTAGCTCATTTCCCTTTGTTGGCTGAACGTGTGAGATGTTCCTGCCCTGCCTTCAAGGCCCCATCCCAGTGCTACCTGCCTGTTCTCCCTTCTAAAATCACTCCCTTGGTCTGCACCTCTCTGTGTGTCCCAGTTACATGTGAGGGCCTCTCTGATTCACCTTTGAACTTCCTGAAAGGAGGGTCTGTGTGGTAGGTGCCTTTGTATCCTGGGAGGAGGCAGGAGAAGAAGAAACTTGCCAAGATGCCAGGTGGATCTTTGGGATCCCTGTCTGTCCTCCCTCCCTCCTCAACTGGGATGAGTGCTGGTGGCTCCTCTCGCCTCATTCCTGCCCTGTCAGAGTCCCTGGCTCCCACTTGGTGCCTCTTCCCTGGGGAGGCCGCCTTCCATCTCTTCTCTCTCTTGGGCGTGTCCCTTCCTCTGCTTGTTGTTGCCTCCCTCAGGGCAGGGGCTGTTGGCTTTGCTTTGGCCCTAGTCAAGAGATTCATGGAGGCTTGTGGCCAGAAGTCCAGGGAATTTCCGGGAGAGGTTTGGCCCTGTAATGGTGATTGAAGGTGATGGAGGGAGGGCCTCTGGGAGAGCTGTCAGTCATTGTGATGACAGCTGGCTTCTGGCTGGCTTCGGGTTTGTTTGAAGGACAGCGTGGGGCTGTGACTGGTCTGCACTGGTGACCTCTGCTGTATTGGTTGGTAACTCTCCACCAAAGCAGATCGACAGTTCAGCAGGCCGCAGTCCTCAGAGCTTTGCCTGCTGGATCTGAGATTAAGTGACTTGACCAAGGTCACATAGCCAGTGTGTCCATAACAGAATTTGAACTCAGGTCTTCCATAGACAGCTAGGTGATGGAGTGGACAGATAGATAGTGGATAGGCACTGTGTCTACAGTCAGGAAAATCTGAGTTCAGATCTGGCCTCAGACACTAATTGTATGACCTTGGACAAGTCACTTAACCTGTTTACCTCAATTTCTTTAACTGCCAAATGGGGTGATAACAGTACCTACTTCCCAGAGTTGTGAAGATCAAATAAAATGGTATTTATAAAGTGCTTACTTAGCATGCTGCCTGGCACATAGTAGGTGCTGTGTAAATGTTAGCTGTCGTTCTCATCATCACTCCAGCCTTGCACCTTGACATTCTCCACAATGCCAGGCTGCCTCAGTTAAAATGACAGAATGTTAGGGTTATACGCTCATCTTTTTGGAACTGGAAGGTCCTCGGAAATCACCTTCTAGTTTAACTCCCTCATTTTACAGACAAGGAGATTGATTTTCTCACTGTCACTCATGTAACAATGAGTAGAGCCAGGATTCTAACCCAGGACCTCTGGTATCCGAGTTCTATGTTCTGGTCCTTTCCACACTGTCCCACTGCCTTCTCATACCACTGGTGGTGGTGGTACAGAGTGATTGAATGAAGGAATGAGAAACTACTTAGCCTGTACTTTGATCTGAGAATACAGTAAAGCCAGGGATTCCTTGGGCCTTGGGGAGGCTCCTCTCCCCCTTACCTGCCCTGGGAAAATTTAGCTTTGGTTGTGTCAGCAAGGCCCAGAGCAGTCCACAGAAGGACATGGTGTCATTTTAGAAGTTTAATCTTTTTTTTTGTGAGACAGTTGGGGTTAAGTGACTTGCCCAGAGTCACACAGCTAGTGAGTGTTATGTGTCTGAGACTGGATATGAACTCTGGTCCTCCTGACTCCAAGGCCAGTACTCTATGCGCTGCACCACCTAGCTGCCCCTAGAAGTTGAATCGTTGGTGGCCAGAACTTACTTTCACTCTTGGCACCCTCCGAGCATGGTGGTACTTTAGCTAGATTGATTGTTGGGGATCCCTTGGAGCTTGGATGAGAGACAGATGCTCTGAGAAGTGTGGGCAGCGTGTGAGTGACTTCAGATTGTGAGCTCTCCAAGGACAGGGACTGTCTCTGCCTTTCTCCTCTTTGGCCCAGTGCTTCTCGACTTGACTTCAGAGCTATGCAGGGAAATACTCAGGAGCTGAGCAGGGAGCTTTAACCCAAAGCAATGGAGAGACTGAAAGTAGGAAGGACCTCCGCTTCCTTCTCAAGGCCCTGAGTCGAGACCTTGGCACTGGGGACCCGGACAGGGACAGATAGCCATGGCAGGGTGTTCAGTTCAGCTCCACTGACTCTGTGCCAGGCACTGTGTAACCACTCAGGGCGGTCACAGATGTAACTGACGCCTGTCCTCGAGGTGCTCGCATTCTCCTGGTGGAAACAGGTCCCTTCAGCACATGGCATTGGCCATCTTTGCCAGTCACATGGAGGTGAAGTAGACAGTGAGAGTTGTTGTAATTTGCATTTTTCTTATTGGTGATCTGGAGCATAATTATGTGCGTGTTGACAGTTTGCATTTCTTCCCCTGAGAACTGCTTATTCATATCTTCTTTGTAAGGTAACTTTCAATATAGTCTCAAATCTGCATTTTCTCCCTCCTCCCTCTGAGAAGGAGCAGTGGGGAGAGGGCAGTGGTGATCAGAGAAGAAAGGATCAAGGAGAGCTGTAGACAGGCCTTTGAGGATTGAGAAAAGGTCATTGGGTCATGCCATTCACATCCTTTGACCATTTATCTATTGGGGAATGGCCCTTGTTCTTAAATAGTTGCGTCAGTGAGAAACGGTGGCAGCCCGCTCCCCACTTGTGGACAGCTTGGATTTTTAGCAGGTTTTTCCTGATGTGTATCCTAAGTTTGCCTCTTCGCATGCTCCACCCCCGCCCCTTCCCCCGTTGCTCTCCATTCTGCTGGGGGTGGGGGTGAGGGTGTCCAGAGCAAACCACATCCCTTCTCCACATGACCACCTTTCAGGGGCTGAAAGACAGCTGTCCAGGTCCCCCTGAGCCTTCTTGTCAGGCCAAACGTTCCTGATCTCACCACCATGGTGGCTTCCATAATTGTGAAGCATAGCATTGTCTTTTCTAAACACGATGTCCAGACCTGAACTCGGCCCTCCCAGGGTGATGTTAGCAGGGTGGAGGAAGGAGGGAAAGAAGGAGGGCTCCCCTGCCCATTCTGACGTAGCCTGGCAGTGTGACTCACTCACATCTCTTCTTCACTCTGTTGGAGTGGCTTGGACGTGAGGGCCAGGCTCTCGTGCTCCGTCTTTGCGCTGAGCCCAGTGCCTGGCCCGTGGCAGGAGTGATACAGGAGCGTCTTCCTTTCCCCCCGCTCCCTTCCCCCCTCTCTACGTTCTTGGGGCCTCCCTACTGGGGCTTCTTTGTAGAGTTCTTGGAGTCTGCTTTCTTCTGTTGGGATGCCTGGTGTGCTGGCGTGGGTCAGGGTGCTCTCGGTGGACTCGGCTTCCACGCCTTCCTCTCTGTGATCCTTGCTCTCTGATTCTCCCTTGACAGCAGGTTGGGGTCAGGAGCCCTGTAGCTGGATTGTGAATGCTTGGCCTTGCCATTCCCCGGACTTTCCCTCTTTGGTGCTTCTTGCTCTTGGCTCGGCATCCCACATCTCCCCTTTTCTCCCTTGGGGAGGCTTCTGTGGCATCCATGAATCTCTGTCCTTTCTCAGTCTTTGTTCCTCTCCTCCGAATTTCAGCGGGTTTCTCACCAAGTCTTGCCCCTTCTCACCTGTGTGTGTCCAGGTGTATGTTGCTTGAAAATGTCCTGGTCCCCCTAACATGCCATCACTCGATACCCAGGTTTATCTGAGAACACTGCTGAGAAGAGAAACCCACTCACGGCTCAGGACCTGCCGGTGTCTCAGTTTCAAGAAAGCACCTTGTATATATGTATGAGTGCTTACGTACACCCCCCCCCCAAGGAAAATCCAATTCTTTCTACTGAGATTTTTATCAGCTGAGCCTCTGTAGACACAGGGACATTGAGGAATTAGTAAAAATGAGACTTCCTTTTTTCTGCACTTTCCCACAAAAATCCTCCCCCACAGCTTCAGTTTATATGGAGTGACCATCCTCAAAACCCTCTGTAAATGCCTCCGTGTATTGTCTGACCCCCCCTTGGTCCCATATCCAGCTGCACAGGTCGACGCTGCTGGGAACGAATAATCCAGAAAGACGCTTGGACACAGCTGAGCTCCCCTCCGTCCCCTCCTGGAGGTGAGAAGAGTCACGTTCTTCCAGTTTCCTTTGTGGCAGACCACAACTGATACAGACTGACACAGTTCATCCCTCCTGGAGCGTACCCCACTGGCTGGTCTTTGGACAAGGGGATTGTGCATTGAGCATATTGCCCAGGAAGTGAGTGCTTCAAGAGGGTCTAAAAGCTGGGGGATTCTTGGCCCCCCCGTCTCTCTCCTTTTCTTGCAGCTCTGCCAGGACCTCACTGGAGGGCCCTTTTCAAATGGCTGGCCTGCTAGGGATGAGGCTCTCTGGACCAATTTGGGTTAACCCTTGGAAAGCCTGCTTGGGCTGAGGTGGGGGGCACAAGGCCCCTAATATTCAGCACATCAGGAATTTTTTTGTAGTGTAACATAATTCATTTTTGTTTTCAGTTCCAAATTTTCTCCCTCTCCCTCCCCTTCCCATTCCACATACACAGAGTGATGCAAAATAAATTCCTGCATTAGCCATATCCAAAAAAAGAAAGAAAGGAGAGAAGAACGTCTGCTTCCCTCTGCATCCCTCAGCTGTCTCTCAGGAGGTGGGCAGCGTGTTTCTTCTTGAGTCCTTTGGAATTGTAGAGGCTCGGTGTATGGTTCAGACTTCCTGAGTCTTTCAAAGCTGAAGATCTCTACTATCTTATTATTGTACAAAGAGTTCTTCTGGCTCTGCTCTTTTCACTTTGCATTTGGTTGATATGTATCTTCCTGATGTTTTTTGGTCTTTATAAATTAACAGAAGGGTTGTGACTTGTTCAAGTTCTCACAAACAGTTGTGCGAAGGGCCCACTCTGTTCCCTATCCTATTCCAAACCATTTGTTCTTCAGTCAGCTTTTTCAAAACTTCAGTATCTCCCCCCCATTTTTTTTTTCTTTTTGCTCAGGAAGTTGGGGCAGATTTTAGCACATTGATTTTGAATTTCTTATTGTCTGCAAGGCTACTGCTGAGTGCGGGCCATGAAAGGAAATTGTGGGATTCTCTGGAAGTTTTATGTGCAGGTTATCTTGTGAGACCTTTGTAAAGCAGGCAGCACAGTGCCTAGCACTTAAAAGGCCCTCAGGAAATGCTCATGCCCTTTCCCCCTCTTGAAACCTGTGGAAGAAAATCATATATATAAAAAGACAGCTGACAGGGTTTGGAAGGACTGCCTAATGTCATTCTAGTTCAGAACCCTTTGCTCTGGGCAAGTGTTTTTTGCCATGATTTGATTTAGGTGGTAGAAAGAGCTGTGGTTGTACTTTAGATGCCCTGGAAGGGCTCTCAGTGTGAGCCCCTGAGTCCCTCCTGTCACTGGGGAGCAGCATGAACGTGACTCTTCTCACCTCTGGGAGGGGACAGAGGGGAGCTCAGCTGTGTCCAAGCGTCTTTCTGGATTGTTCGTTCCGAGCAGCGTCGACCTGTGCGGCTGGATGTGGGACCAAGGGGGGTCAGACAATACGTGGAGGCATTTACAGAGGGTTTTGAGGACGGTCACTCCATATAAACTGAAGCTGTGGGAGAGGATTTTTGTGGGAAAGTGCAGAAAAAAAGTCTAATTTTTGCTAATTCCTCAATGTCCCTGTGTCTACAGAGGCTCAGCTGATAAAAATCTCAGTAGAAAGAATTGGATTTTCCTTGGGGGGGGGTGTACGCAAGCACTCATACATATATACAAGGTGCTTTCTTGAAACTGAGACACTGGTAAGTCCTGATCTGTGAGTAGTTTTCTCTTAGCAGTATTCTCAGCCAAACCTGGGTGTGGAGTGATGGTATGTTAGGGGACAAGGACATTTTGAAGCAAGATGCATGCACCTGTGCAGGTGCATGTGTGGGAGTGTGTGTACACACATGTCTGTGTGTGCAAAGAGCACGCCACAGGTGATGTCAGCCAATGAGCTGCCCTCCTTCCTGCCCCACTGCCTGTAGCCTCCCTCCTCACTGTGCTCTTTGGTGCCCTTACAGACGAGGTGGCCAAGTTGGAGAGGCACCTGATGCTTCTGCGACAGGAGTATGTGAAGCTGCAGAAGAGGCTGGCCGAGACCGAGAAGAAGTGTCGCCTCCTGGCCGCACAGGCCCACCAGGAGGGTGGCGATGACTGCTTCATCACGCGTTTGCTGAGAATCGTGGCCGATCTCTATGAGCAGGAGCAGTACAGGTGAGTGGGCCCCTGCTGGCAGCTCCCCCTGTTCCCATGATCATTTCTGCCACCCCGTCAAGAAAGCAATTAAGAAACATTTCAGTGGGTGCTGAGCAAACCCACTTTGACCCAAAGTCAGAGTTTTCTTCCCTGTTCAGAAGTCTTCAGTGACTCTTCTTATTTCTAAGAAAAAACAGAGATCTGTCAGCTTGACCTTCAGAGCCCCAGCCAGGCTCCCCCTCCCTTTCTAGGCAAGGCCAGTGTTTTTGGCTGAACAGCTTTGCTGACTGCTTCCTGCACTTGAATCTGTCTCCGCTTGTGCCTTTGCAGGCCTCTCAGGGCCCAGTATGGGTGCTGCCTCCTGCACGAAGTCATCCCGTAGTGGCTTCTCAGGCGCATCCCCCCAGGAGCACTTCAGAGCCTTGAGCTCAGGGAGTGGTGCGTTTTGTCATTGTGTCCCAGCACGCTATCTTGCTTACTCATTAGATGCTTGTTTCATGTTATTGTGTGTAGGTTTGCTCTCAAGGAGGGTCACTAGAGGCAGCTGGTGGCCCAGTGGGACAGAACACTGAATGAGGAGTCAGAAGAGCTGAGTTCAAGTCCTGCCTCAAATACTATCTCTCTGGCTCTGGGCACTCATTTAACCTCAGTTTGCTCATCTGTAAGATGGGGATAACAATAGCATCTTATTGTGAGTCTCAAATGAAATTGTGTATGTCAAGTGCTTTGCAAACTCTGCTATGTAAATGTCAGCTCTCATTATATTATTACAAGTCAATATGGGAGTGGGAGTCTTGGAGGAAGGAAGGCTAAATGACTGTGACCCAAAGAGGATGAGAAAGGGCAAAGGGGAGACTTGGGTCAAGGACATCTGGAGAGGGTGAGGTCCTGGAGGAAGTGTTGTCTGCTGTAGGAATTGTCTGAAGGGGAGATTGGAGTGGTGGGAGTGAGGAGAAGCCATTTCTGAAGTGGGGAGGTGGGACTGACAAAGGTTGGAGATGGGGGCCGGCAGGGGGCTGGAGAGCAGCTGGAGCCAGGAGTCGTGGGATCATGTGAAAGGAGGCTGGACAGCAGGTGGGAGCCATGCGAGAGAGGCCTTTGAGTGGCAGGGTTGGTATCCTTGATAGCGCTAGAGACAAGGCAGGGTTATGGTGCTGTCCTCGGTTCCTGGAGTGGAGATCTGATTCTGGGGATGGACTAGAGAAAGGAAGGCCAACTGGGAGACTAGAACGTGGGAGAGGCAGAATTTCAGTGGTTGAGTTGCCGGAGGAGCTGGATTTGTGAGCTGGCCCAGGAAGAGCCAGCCGGGTTTGGCAGCTGATTGATTCTGCGTCTCGGGGGAGGCAGAGGAAACGGGTGAGGCTGCTCCCCAGGTCCCTGAGGTGGGGTGTTGGGAGGAAGGCCCTCAAGGTCATCAGTCCAGTCCTCTTGGTTTATGGTAGACTGGCGCCCAGCGGATATCAGCAAACAGTCTTAGGAAGACAGGGGGACACTCGTAATAACCAGGCCCCGGAAAGGAGTGAGACAGTGCTGGGCTGGTCGCAGATGCCTGGGGCCCTCCATTGGAGACCTCCTTCCTGAGTCTCGCCGTGTGGTCAGTCCTGAATCCATGCAGCTCTCCTATGTGCTGTGCTGCCCAGGTCTCTCTCACCTTTCCCACCGGATGAGCACAAGATACTTTGTCAAAGATTTTGATAAAATGTGGGTAAAGTGTACGTGTGACATTCCCCTCATCCAAGAGGAAATCAAGTTAGCCTGGGGTGCGCAGCCCCCGGGCAGGTCGAGCCAGGCTGGATTTCTGAGATCTCAGCTTCTCTTCCTCAATATTCCCCAACCAGCTCTTTAATCACTGACTTGAAAATGTGGCAGATTCCATTCTCTTCCCTTCTCTCCTCTCCACCCATCTTTTTCCTTCTACAGACTAGGCCGGCATTCGCCTTTGTCCAGCTCCGGGGCACTCTGGGGTGCCATTCTTCTCAGGTCTGCAGATATCGCTGGCCACGGCCCAGCCATCCCATCTGCCACTGCTTCCAGGCCCCAGGGGTGTTGTTCCTTGGGGCCAGCTGGCGCTCTTCCTCTCCATTGCCCATTTGCCATTTTTGTTCTGCCCTTTCTCTTCCAAAGGGCCGGACCATACACAGATATGGATGACGGAGGAGCCTAATGAGAGTGGAGCCGCCCGGCTTCCCCTCTCTGGTCAGCTGTCCTGACCCCATCAATCTAGAGCAGTGGGCCTTCCAGAGCAAACATGAACCCTTTCTCGTGGCTGCTCAGCCCCTTGTGAGTGCGAGCCCTCGGGCCATGATGCCCGCAGGACCTGCGCTTCTTCAAAGCTGTGCTGGCTGGCGAGCTCTCTGTGCATCTGCGTGGGGGTTTCCATGGGTAGCTCCTCTTTTCCTTACCCATCCGAGTGCTTTCCCTTGTCTTCGCATTTCCGTGCTCGAGATTTTCCTGACTTTCTGGGCCTGACTTTCCTGGTAGACTTGGAGCCTGTGGCAGCCTGCACATCCTGCCCTTGAACTCTCTGAAATCTGTGTCTCAGACTAGGATTGCCTGTCTCAGGTCTCTCCCGACCCCAGGACCTCCTCAGTCCAGCCACCAAAGTGATTTTCCTGTCCAGTCACGTCAATAAACTCCAGTGACTCCCTGTGGCCTCCGGGATCGAACATAAAATCCTGGCTGGCATTCCAAGCCCCTTCACAGCCTGGCCCCTTTCTCCCTTGCAGTCTTCTTGAGCCTTACTCTCTGACACATACTCCTCAGTGCAGGGTCGCTGGCCTCCTGGCTGTTCCCAGATGAGACCCTCCGTCTCTCGGCTTTGGACAGATCTCTGGCCATCCCCTGTGCCCGGACTGTTTCCCCTCCTGTCCACCTCTTGGCTTCCCAGCCTTCTTTAAGTTCCAGCTAAAGGCCCACCTTCTTCAGGAAGCCTTTGCCAGCCCTCCCTTAATCCCAGTGTCTTCCCTTTCTTAATTTTCAGCTTTTTTCTATACGTATTTTGTTTGTTGGTTTTTTGTCTCCCCTGGTAGGCCATGAGAGCAGGGACTGTCTTTTGCCTTTCTTTGTATCCCTGTTGCCGAGCTCCTGGTACACAGTAGGTCCTTAACATGGGTTTAATGACTGCCTGATGGCCTGACTGACTTGTGTGCCAGGCCTCTGGTTTACTCTCTGTTTGCTCTTTCTGTCCAGATGCTCGGTAGCATGCATTGGTGGGAAGTCACATGCTCACTCGAACTGCTTCTTTCTGCATATTTGCTGCATCTTTTTCTGTGTTGTGGGGTCTGAGGGTTTTGCCATAACACATCTGGATTGGCCCTTGGGCTTCTGGCTGCGTTTCTGTGCAGAGCGAGCCCCTCTGAACATGTCCCCCTGCCTGGCATGCCCTTCCTCCTGGCTTCCCTGGCCCAAGAAGCTTTTCCTGGCCTCTTAATTCGAGTGCTTTTTCTCTGTTAATTATTTCCTATTTAGCTTGTCTTTTTCGTACCTGTTTGTTTGCTAGTTATCTTCTCTATTAGATTGGGAGCTCCTTGAGGGCAGGGACTGTCTTTTGCCTCTTTTTGTATCCCTGGTCCATAGCCTAGTTGCTGGCACATAGTAAGATGCTTAATAAATGCTTATTGACTACCTGACAGTTCTGGGGTAAAAGAAAGCATTTTCTGTATTTTCTCATCCGATTTCTGGATCAATATTTGAAAGATGAAAGAAGATTCCAGGGTATGGAGCCTAGGGGGTCAGGAAGATGGAAATGAGGAGATGACGGGAAGGTCAGATTGAAGAGGCAGATGAGTGGACGTGCTGCCTTTGAGGCGGTCATGGGCCTTGCACGATGGGGCAGCGTCTCTTGGGGAGGGATCAGGCTGATCGTGGAGGTTTGGGGCTTCTGCTTGGGAGGGTATGCTTGGAATCGGGGGAGCTGGTGAGGCTGCCTGGAGACCAGGACAGAGTCACAGGGGTGCGAAGGAGGCAGCGGCCTGGTGAAGGGAACCGAAGGGATGGTCACACAGGTTGAAGAACCGGGGCACTCATGGTCTTGGTGTGGAGGTGTGGAGGAGGCCAGTGGTTTGCTGACTCCTGTGTGAAGAAATTTTCAACAGTGTAATGGGGTTGGAAGCCAGATTGCAAAGGGCAGGCACCTGGAGGGAAGTGTAGACGACAATGCTGAAGATCTTCCCAGGGATGGGGAGGAGAGACGTGGGATGAAAGCCAGAGTGGTTAGCAGGGCTGTAGGGAGATGAGGCTAGGAAAGATAGAACATGATCTTGGCGGTAGCAGAGGAGGAGCCAGGGAGACGGAAAGAAATTGGTGATGAGAAAATAATGATGGCTCATTGCATGCTCTGGATGCGAGAGAATGGGGCTGACCTTGACAGAGGGAAAGCACATCTTTTCCTCTAAGAAGGAGCAGCAGAGAGGGGAGTTTGGAGAAGGCCAGGGAGGAGCAGAAGTAAAAGCCCACGCAGGGTTGGACCATACATGCATGTGGGGTGGGTGTATGTGTACGCGTGTGTATATGCATGTGCGCGTATGTGTGTGTGTGTGTGCATGTGTGTGTGTATTGGGGGGGCTGCTGTCTGCACGGTTTGTTAACTTCTGGCAATGGGCTTTCTTGGTTCATGGAGGATCTCAGAAGGACAGGGGTGAGGTGGGGGGATAGTCCTGGGCTGTGAAGGGTGAATGAATAAGGAGGCAAGGATGGTGGACAGGAAGAAAAAGGAGGGCAGGGCCAGCGGGGAGGAGCTGAAGGGCCAGCCGGCCCACTGAGCGTGGAGTACAGGTCTGGGAGGGAGGTGGGAGGGAACTGGATGTTGGGCTGAAGAGCCCATTTACAGACAGCAGACAGGAGGAAAGCCAGCTAACATGAGAGGGGTCTGCAGGATTCAGACTTTGCACTGAAGATGAGGTGAACTTGAATCCCTAGGGGTGAATGTAAAACCTTCCCGTGGGTTCAAGGCATCAGCATCATAGCATTTATAAAGCGCCTGCTGTGTCCTGGGCACTGTGCTAAGTGCCTTGTAAAGATTACCTTCAGAACAACCCTGGGAGGTAGGTGCTGTTACTTCCCCCATTTTACAGATGAAGAAACTGAGGCAGACAGAGGTTAGGTGACTGCCAGGGTCACCCAGCTAGTGAATATCTGAAACTGGTTTTGAATCCGGCTCTTCTGGGCCCCTGGCCTGGCTCTCTAGGTCCTCTGGTGCCACCTGCCTGCATCCTGGGCTTTCACTAACCGAACACGTCTCCCAGCATGGAAATTTCGGTTATCTAAAAGACAGTTGCTGCCACCATGTCTTCGGAAGAGAGAACTCACCCACTGCTTTGCCAGATGAACAGCTCTGCCTTCTTAGAATCATGCTTCTTGAGTGTCTTCTGGTGCTGAGCAAATACTTGGATTTTTCAGCGTCTGGGTATCATCTTCCCTCCATAAATTGTCCCCAGACGCTGGTGCTCTCAGCAGAAGGACTGGTGAGGTCTGATCATTCTGGGCTCTCCCATTTCCGCATATTAATATGCCTGCTAATTTTAGACGTGCTAGCATCCAGAGTTCTGGGCCTGCAGTCAGGAAGGCCCGAGTTCAAATCCGGCTTTGGACTCTTACCAGCTGTGTGACCCTGGTCACTGAGCCTCTGTTTTCTCATCTGTAAAATGGGGATCATAATAACACCTCCCTCCCAGGGTAGTCACAAGGCCGTGCCCTGCAAGTGCAAGCTGTTGTTATTATTAGCTGTTACCTTCTCCATGATAAGATGAAGGTGGCTTGGCCTGAGAAGTGACCTCCCAGCTCCCCCAGAGTCCGTGTGTGGCGGCCCCCAAAGCTGAGGGAGGTGAGGCTGCTTTGCTGTCCAGGGGGAGGGTGGGGCAGCCCCTCCGCCTTGGTGGCAGTGAAGCTAGCTGGCAGAGCGTTAGATGAGAGGCAAGGGGATGAAGACATCAGGCCCATTCAAGGTAGCAGAAGCGGGAGATGACGTTTGGAGGAGAGGGGAGGCTTTTGTAAGGTTGGGAGGGTGTATGTGGGTTTGAAGTTAATCAGTAGATCTGGAAAGAGGCCGTGATTGAGGTGGCCGTCTGCTGGAGGAACAGAGAATGGCCTTGGCCACCTCTTTGTCAGAGCCTGGGGGAAGTGAGAGTGGGAGGTGATGGCCGGGGTCTTAGGTAAAGGGAGTGGGGAAGAGCGAGCCCATGACCAATGGCCTCAATTTTCTGTCCCTCGGCTGAGAGGAAGGAATGTGGGAGCCTGAGAAAGGGAAAGTGAGTTTGGAACCCTCACCCTAACACTGTGGGGAGGGAGATAGAGAATCCATTGGAGAGGAATGGTTGGGACCCGATAACGTGAATGTGTCTGCTGTCCAGCTGGTCCAGTTGTCAGACTGAGCTTTGTTCAGCAGCTGGTGAGGAGGGGCCGCGGGGTTGGGTGGTGGGACAGGGGTCAGGGATTCCCGAGCCCAGGACAAGGCAGTGGCCAAGATTGGGCTGAGATCAGAGAGGTCTACATGAGGGTGACTCCAGATGGAGAGGAAGACAGAGCCGAGTGGGGGGACAGAGGAGCCTTGGGGCTGAGTTGTCAGTGACAAGGACTGCTCCCCTTGGATGGAAGAGGAGGAGGAGGAGGAGGGACTGCTGGGGATGGAGGTTCAGTGGATTTGCCCAGGGTCATACATGAAGTAAGTGTCCAAGGCTGGATTTGAACTCAGGCCTTCCCTGGGCAAGCAGAGCCTCTGGTGCTGTCCTGACCTCCCCATCCCCTCTGGCTGGATTGTTTGTTGAGGGAATGCAGGGGAAAGATCAAGGGGGAAGGTGGCTTTAAGAAGGGGGTGGAAGGTCTCACGGGCCAGTGGGAGGGGAGAGCTGGGTTGGGTAAAGGTGAGATGACAGGAGGAGGCAAGCTCCCCCAGGAGCGGCAGAGATGGTTGGAGGCCAGCAGGGCCAGGGGCTGGGGGAGGCCCGGTCTCCTTCTCTCCTCCTCTCCTCCTCTAGAGCAGGCTGTGCAGCCCAGAGTCTTCCTTCAGCACTTGGCTGTTGGACAGAGCATGGGCCAAGCTCAGCCAGTGTCTCTTGGGGAGTTGTCCTGCCCATGCAGCCTGGCTACCACTCTGCTCTCAAGCCTTCCGTTGCTCCCTGCAGCTTGCTGAGCCAAGTGCAGGCTCCTGTCCTGGCAGTGAAGGCCCCCCACCCTTCACCTTTCCAACTGGGAAGCCTGGCCCTCCACGAATCCTGTAGGTTAGGCCCCTGGGCCTTTTCCCACCCTTTCCTACTCTTAAAATGGCCTCCTGCCCGCATTCCTCTCCATTTTAAATTGTAAATTAAATTAATTTTTTTCAGTGAACAGAAATCTGATTCTCCCTCCTATCTGCCCTTGGCTATTTAAGAAAAAGAAGGAAACAAAGCAGTTGAGCTAGACCACTTCCTCCAGGAGTCATGTCCAGAAATGGGTTAGAGTTGGATTACAGCCTTAACCTGTGGCTCACAGAGGGCACTTGGGAAAGTTTGTCACCTTTGCCCTCCTTTTAGTTGGGGATAAGACTCCCTCTCAATGCCAGGGATCGACCCCACTAGATCAGGTGTGAGCTCAAAGTGGAATGGGTTTCTGTGATTGAGACGCAGAGGAATTTCCCCCCAAGAGCTAAGATCACCAACCCAGGAGTCAGGAACCCTGGCTCTAGAGCACCGTTGTACAGTGTGGCCAAGGGCACATCATGTCCCCCTCTGGGGCTCATTTTTTTTGGGGGGGGGTGAGGCAGTTGGGGTTAAGTGACTTGCCCAGAGTCACACAGCTAGTGAGTGTTAGGTGTCTGAGACCAGATTTGAATTCAAGTCCTCCTGATTCCAGGGCCGGTGCTCTATCCAGTGCACCACCTAGCTGCCCCAGGGGCTTATTTTCATCATCTTAAAATAAAGGCGTTGGATGAAATTATTTTTAGCTCCAGTTCTTACCCTAATTCCAGTACTAAAGTCATATTGTTCTAAATTATTTCTTTCCTACTAAAATGTTCATTTGGACAATTATACAGTAAGTCCTTGATTTAAGCAAAGTAAAACATTAAAACCATCCCAACATCTGGATTTTTAAAAGGAAAAAATTGGAATTACCTTTTTTCTTTTTCAGAGTTTTCACATTTCTTCTTCAGGTCATAAAGTAAATCCTCCATTCTCATTCTGTAACATTAACCAATTCTGATGCGAAGGGAAATGAACCAATTAGTCTTTGCTGTTTTCTGATCTCTGCGTTTATGAACTAGTCAAGGCAGAAACGCTTCTGCCGTGAATGGTCCTGCTGGATCCCTCTGCTCATAGTTCTGATTGAGTCGTAAGGATTTTATAGAAACAATTCTTTGATCAATTTATGCTGGTGTAAAAATGGCAAAGTTAAGAATTATTCTGCCAAAATTGAAAACAAGATGGTAAGAATGTGTCCAAATCATTGCGATTCGAGGACGTTTCCTTTTCATAAAAGTTGACGTTAGGGTGTGACTCAGAGTCTTTGCTGTTTGGGGAATCTTAGGAACTCTGATTCTAAAACTACTTCGATTCATGTCCAGTCGCACTGAACAGTAGTTTCTACTGTTTGGGAGGCTCAGGTGTCCTCTTCTAGCCTGGTTTATTGGGCAACATACTTCTAAAAGGTATCCAGAAAACAATACTTTTGAATTTTGTGGGCCAGGAGCCCTGCTGTGCCTTCGGATCTGAATTGGGTTTGTTTGAGAAGAAGAATAGGGTGTGATTTCTGCAGTAGTTCCTAGTGAAAGAGAGAAAACAGTAGAAGGAAGCTCTAGGATGTGCCCGTCCATGCTGTGGCAGACCCTCCCCCCCCCATGCCCTTTGTCACTCCATTGGTGTGAAGCTCTCTTGAAGGTCATGTGGCTTGGCCCCCTTCTATGAGCCTGTCTGGCCAAAGGGCTCCTGAAAACAGCTCTGAGATATGGCCGCTCTGGCCAGGTGTGGGCACTTGGGGCAAGATGTCAGCACCTTGAGGAACAGAAGCAGGGGTGGGGCTGTCTAGGCCTTTCGGCTCTTGTCTGCTTGGGTATTTTGTCAGGCTCCTTTCTTGACTTTTTATTTTTTGTTCTGGACCTGTGATTTTGTTGGTTCAAACTCTCCCTACTCAGGTGCAGATGGCAGATCATTTGTAACTTAGCTTTGGAGAGGTGCCCAGGGCACCCAGAGGTTAATTGTCTGTGGAGTCACAGAGCAAAAGAGGAGTCAGGACCCAGATCGGAGCCTTGTTCTCCCTGATCCCAAGGCCCGGTCCTCCACGCCCTATGTGTCACTGCCTTTGCTCACAGACTCTTTCTAGTCCCAGGCTTAGATGAAAGCCCGCCCAGGTAGAGTAAGCCTCCCTGACTCAGGGTGCCTGGATGGGTGCATCATTACAGTTGTCTTAGACTTGGCTCGAGGGCCCCTGACTTTCTCCTCCTGACTTCTTACCAGTGATTCATCTCATTCTGTATGAAGCTGTTGGGGGGAGGGGCAGGGGCGACAGGAGATGAGTTAATCCCAAGGTTTAATATGCAGCCTGACTGTTCTGGGCATCCGTGTAGAAGACACTTGGAAAGTGGCCCGTCTTCTGTGGCCTGGACTGGCCTAACTTTCTGTGAAGTTAGACTTGAGCAATAAAGGATGCCCAGTAAAATTCACAAAACAAAGCATCTAGACTGGTCAGCCCCACATTCTTCTCTCTCAGACATATTTATTTATTATTAAGCTGTAGCCCCTGAAAGTCCTCTAGCCCGCCCACCAGCCAGCCTTTTGTGCTTCCGCAGACAGCTGTACTTAGGGGGATTGTCACGTGCTCTTGGCTTACATGGCTCTTTTCCTTGACCAGTGACCTGAAAATCAAGGTTGGCAATCAGCTCATCAACGCTCATAAGTTTGTGTTGGCTGCACGCAGCGAGAATTGGAGTCTGACCAGCCTGGCCTCCACTGAAGAACTGGACCTTTCAGGTGAGTCTGTGCCTGGCAGCGCCTGGGGCAGTTTTACTTGCTTGTCAAACTTCTTCTGAAAGCCCTCTTGGGAAGAGGTTACAGTAGCTTGGCGCCCAGTACCGGCTTTTGGCCTCCAGATGGTGGCTGAGGAGGCTGGGAGCCCCGCCCGGGGCCAATGCATAGCAGACCCTGCTGAGACCAGAGGAACTTCCTGGGGCTGGTGGCTCCCAGAGCCTGCCTCATGTAAGGGAGGAGTCCCTGGGCCAGTGGCAGTGCGAGGACACTGTGGTGTTGGCGGGCTCTTTCTCATCCGTCTGTGCTGGCTTTGAGTCATGTGGGCCTCAGGAGGACCCTTCCAGGGGATGAGCGTGGACTGCTCTGCTCTGCTGTGCTCACAGGCACTGCAGACTCTTAGTGTTGGCCACATCTCAGCCACCCTCTGCCTCAGTTATCCAAGTGATCCACTACCCTGCCCTTCCTAGGCTGGCTCCAGGAGCAGGGGATTACCTCCAGTGGAGCTGAGCCCGTATTTTGACTGCTCTAATTGTTAGGAAACTCTTGCTTGTATTGAGGAGCTGCAGTTCACCCCTGTGTAGTTCCAGGGAATCCCAGAATTCCAGACTTGGGAGAGCTCTCAGAGCCCATCCAGTCTGCCCCCCTGACAGTGGCCAGCGGTCCAGTCTTTGCTTCTCCCACTCCTTTTTTGGCTATAATTGGATTCCCTCTCCCTGCCCCCGCCTGCTGTGGCTGCTCCTGGCTCTGCCCTCTGGGGCCAAATGCAGCAGATTTAGTCCTTCTTCCATGTGGGACTTCTGCTGCTTGGGAACTGCTCTCGTGGTTTCCCTGAATCTTCTCTCATTATTCAGGCCACGTGAATGTATGAGATGTAAGGCACTGTATTATGTGTTAGGTGCAAAGGAAGGTGGAGATGGGCCCAGTCCTCGAGGAGCGAGCATTTTAGGAGGGAAGACAGCACTCAGCCCACCAGATACATAAAAGAGAGATGTCATGGATGGAAGGCAGTCAGAGCAGAGGCACTGGCAGCTGGGAAGAGGGGAAGGACCTCCTGTAGGAGCCAAGTCTTTCAAAGGAAGCCAGAGAAAGGGAGAGGTGGCAGTTAGGGGACAGTGGCCAGTGCCAGGAATGGAGACGGGCGATGGACAGTCAGCAGAGAGCCTGGGATGGGTAGTTCCCAGAGGGCCACAGCTGCAGGGAGACTGAAGAGGAATGGGCCACTCTGTGTAGGTCTGGAGGAAATGGGGAGCTGCTGGAATGGTAGGGAGGGTGATGTGGACAGTCCTGCACTTTAAGGCAAATCCCCTGGGCAACCTGGTTGGGAGAAAGTGAGGCAAGAAGATCAGGGGGCAGGTGACGCAGTGGTGAGGATGGTGGCGTGCGAGGGGAGGTATAGGAAAGTTGAGGGAGAGTGAGGTGCCAAGGAGACGCTGACGGGGAGGCCTGGCCTGGCCGCAGTGATGCTGGTGGGCAAGTGGAGGAAGGGCCCCTTCTTCAGTGTTTGTAAGAACTTGGGTTCTTTTGTAGAGTGCTTAGCACATTTCCCAGGCTCCTCCACAGTGAGTGATTCTCCCTTCCATGCCTAACCCAGACTCACCCAACAACTCTGCTGCCTCCTGCCTCTCCATCCATATCCTCTTCTGCTTCTGGCAGTCAATCAACAATCAGTGATTGAGCACCTACTGTGTGCCATGTGATGGGATAGGAGGAAAAGAGCCCCTGCGGGCTTTGTTTAAAAAAAAAAGACTTTTATTGCTTTATTCTTCCATCACCTGAAGTCCTTTTTGGATCCCTCACCCACCTTATCTTCCCCCTTCCATATATTTCACTTCTGTAAAGAAGAAAAGGAAGAAAAGAAAATAAATGAGCAAAACCAATCAGGGCATTGAAAAAATCTGACAATATGTGCAGTGTTCCACCTCTGGGGCCCCCACCCCTGCAGAGAAGGGGGGGGTGTCTTCTGGCTCTTCATGGAGTCCTGGGTGTTCTTTGTAATTCTGCAACATCCACATTCTTTAAAAAACTTTTTAAAGTAAGTTTTTATCGCTGTCTTTTTTATACATTATCACAATTTCCTAAGTATTCCTTCTCCTTGTCTTCCTCTCCTAGAGAGCCCTCCCATCCAACAAATGATATTTTTAAATGAGTGGAAAAAAAAAAAGAAGAGAACAGATCAGCATGACTGAGCCCAACGTTGAGTGAGTCTGCCCAGCCTGACAGTGGGCCAGCGTGGCTGGGCCGAGGGCTGGCCATCTGTGGAGCCGCTTTTGTGCTGGTTCTTTCCATTTCTGTGGTTTGGGGCATGGTGCCTAGCACACAGTAGGCAGTTAATAAATGTTGATTGTTCCCAGGCTTCTCTGTGTTTATCACAGCTGTTGGTTCTTAGAATGGGTCGTCTTTTCTTCCATTTGTGTTCCAGCACTGACTTTATTTCCGTTTCTTTGCTGTCACAAAAAGGATGCCATAAATACTTTGGCTGGGGGGAGGGGGGTGTGGAGACTCTCTTCCCCAAGGCCTCCTTGGGGCCTGAGCCCAGCAATGGTGTCTCTGAGTCACAGGCTCGAGAGGGGAGGAGACACTGGAGCCGTGGGTTCGGCTGCCCCCTGTTCGATGGGCACCCCCTTATTTACAGGTTCTTGCCCCTCTTGAAGTGTTGCTCCGAACAGGAGGCATCCAGGAGCACCCACGAGGCGGCCAGGTTGGAGGTTTAGAGTAGGCTGGGTCTGAAGGTTTTCTCTTATGGAATTGATTGTATCAGAATTTTTTTTTGATTTGCTCATCATGTCTTAGAGACATTTCTCTCAACTTGCTTCTAAACAGAGAGAGGCATCAGGGGATGTTGGATAAAATACTAAACTTGGAATCAGGAAGACCTAGGTTCGAATGCTGACATGACTGCTAAGCTGCCAGCTGACCGTGGCTTCACTTCTCCTACCTGGTCCTTGGGCAGTCCTGAGCTTGATATTCAAGTTTAGACAGGTCAGAGTTTGTGATGGTAGAGGGAGTTGTGACATCCATGAAATCATCGGGCTTCGCATCTAGGAAGCACTCGATAAATGCCTGTAATTCACCTCGTCTGAACCTTCTTGGTCCTGTTGAAGTCGGTTCACAGTCTCACTGCCTCGTCATCTTCCTCAGCTCCTGACTCTCATTCACCTTCCACACATCTGATCAGTTGTCACATCTTGTCTCTGTGTCCATGACGTATCTTGAATCCTTCTCATTCTCAATGCACACAGCCACTGCCCTAGTTCAGGCCCCTGCATCTCTTGCCTGGACTATTTTATTTCTCTTTGGCACTGACTCTCAAATCTACCTGTCCTGCCCCTGTCTCTCCGCTGACCATCCATCTCAAAGTGGGTGTCCAGTAGACATCTTCTACTCAGTATTGCCAAATCAGAACTCATCATTTTCCCCCTAAACCTTCCCACCCTCCTACTTTCCTTGTTGCTGTAGAGGTCAGTACCATCCTCCCATCTCTCAGGGTTCCTGGACTGCTCACTATCTCTCGATTCCACATTTACTTATCTGGGCTAGAACACTCACAAACCTCACAAAATGGTGGGAAAATTCAGAAGCTACTAAATGAAAAACGAGAGCTCCACAGGGTTTACCAGCAGGAGAGTTCATCCATCTCTAAGAAGGCAGCATTTAACTCCACCAAAAGTAGAGTGCAAGTGAAGCTTAGAGAGATGCAGGATTCTTGGCTCAGTAAGGAGGCAGATGAAATGCGATTTTATGCTGATAGTAACAATCCAGAGCACTTTTATAAAAGCCCTGCAGGCTGTTTATGGGCCAAAGACCTGGGCTGCATCTCAACTACTCAGTGCTGGTGGAGCCACATTGATTAGTGATGAGGACACAATCCTGGAGAGATGGGCTGAACACTTCCAACAGACCGTCGCCAATCAATGCTGAGGCCATTGACCCCTTACCTCAGGTTGAAGTCAGTCCCTCCCCAGCTGAACTTCCAACTGAAGAAGAGTGTTTAATGCCCTTAGGCTTCTCTCCTGTGGCAAAGCACCAGGTGCCTATTCTCTTCAAGCTGAGATTTACAAGGCGGGGAGCCCCCTGCTCATACAAAAGCTGACTGAAACCTTCTGGGTTATATGGCAAGAGGAGGCTATCCCCCGGAGGTCTCCATTGTCCACCTTTATAAAGGAAAAGGAAATAGGTTGTCCCATAGGAGTCCTAATAGGAAGAACAGTCATGGGGGTCAGGGTGTCTTTCTCTTAGTCATTGCCTTAAGTATTCTTGCCAGAATCCTCCTTAACAGGCTGGTCTTCACCTGAAGGATGGTCATCTACCCGAGAGCCAGTGTGGCTTTAGAAAGGGCCGAGGAATGGTCAATATGGTGTTTGCTGCCCGGCGACTCCAGAAGAAATGCCAGGAGCAGAACTGAGGTCTGTGCACGCTGTTTGTAGATCTGACCAAGGTCTCTGACACTGTCAGTCGTGAGGCTTGTGGAGGATCATGGCAAAATGGAGTTGCCTGGAGAAGTTCATCAGCATTGTACGTCAGTTTCATGACACCATAACGTGCCCAGGTTCTGGATAACAGACGATGCTCTCACACTTCCCCAGTCACCAGTGGAGTGAAGCAGGGCTGTGTGCTTGCTCCCGTAATTTTTAGCGTGTTGTTTTCAGCCGTGTTGTCAGAAGCCTTCAACAAGTACAAAAATAGTGTCAAAGTCAGCTACTGCACGGATGGTGAATTTTTTAACTTGAATGATGGACTGATTGTAATAGTCACCTCGTTGGCCCTCTTTCCACACGATTCCATCCTCTACCCAGCTGCCAAAGTGACTTTCCTTAAGTACAGATCTTTCCCACTCATTTGTTCTGGAAACTCTAGCGTCCTGCTGTTGCCACAGGATCAGATGGACACTCTTTTGTTTGTCCCATAAAGCCCTTTAGATGCCTCCTTGGCAGCCTTCTTCCTTGCATGGCACTCCCTCCTCACACACTGCACTCCAGGCAAAGTGGGCTTGCCTTTCTTATACAGCAATTGTGTTTTTGCGTCGGCTGTCTCTGAAATGTGGGTCTCGATGGCTTCTTCCTCATCCCTGTGTCTCAGATGCCCAGGTTTCTTTCAGAGCTTAGAGTAGCAGATTGTCAGGAGGGACCTGGATTCAGATCCCATTTGAACTGCCGTGGTGGTGACCGGGTGAAGAATGAGAAAGGGTCAGAGGTGAGAGATGTTGTGTCCAGCTGCCTGTTGGACATCTCCAAAATGGCCTTGGTGTTTCAAATGCACCATGTCTAAAATGGACACAAGGACCATGGCAGTCCTGTGCTCAAGAATTTTCAGTGGCTTCCCATATCTTTTAGGATAAAATAGAGACTCTTTGTCTTGACCTCTAAGCTCCTTTGCCATTGATATTTGGTCTACTTCTCCAAGTTAATTTCATTTTCTCTTTTTAAGAAATTGTAGTTTTCAATTCCAATTTCTTTCCCTCCTTCTAGCCCTTATCTACCCATTGAGAAGGCAAGAAATATGATACCCATTATACATGAGGAGTCAGGCAAAACATTTACAAATCAGCTATGTTCTGGGGAGGAAAAAACAAGAAAAGTAAAGAGAGAGAAAAAAATATGGTTTAATCTGCACTTAGAGTCTCTCACTTTTCTTTCCGAAGGTGGATAGCATTGTCATCATGAATCCTTTGGAATCGTCTTGGACCATTGGGTTACTGAGAATAGCTAAGCAATTCACAGTTGATCCTCATACAGTGTTGCTGTTACTGTGTACAGTGTTCTCCTAGTTCTGCTCACTTCACTTTGCATCAGCTCATATATGTCTTCCTGGGTTTTTCTGAAAACCATCCTGCTTATAACACAATAGTATTCCATTACAATCATATACCACAACTTGTTCAACCATTCCCCTGTTGATGGACATCTCCTCAATTTCCAAATCCATTTATGCCCTGCTATAAATATTTTTGGATAAATAGATCCTTTTCTTTTTTCTTTGACCACTTTGGGATACAGTTGTAGCAATGGTGTTGCTGGATCAAAGCATATGTACAGTTCGATAGCCCTTTAAGCATAGTTCCAAATTGTTCTCCAGAATGGTTGGACTACTTCAAAACTCCACCAATAATGCTCCTACTTTTCCACATCTTCTCCAGCATTTGTCATTTTCTTTTTCTGTAATGTGAGCTAATCTCATGGATGTGAGGTGGTAGGTACTTCAGAGTTATTTTAATTTGCATTTCTCTAATTATTAGTAATTTAGAGAATTTTTTTTAAATGACCATTGATAACTTTGATTTTCCTCATTTGAAAAGTGCCTGTTCATGTCCTTTGACCATTTATCAATTGGGGAATGAATCTTTTTTTTTTAAATGAATTTGTCTCAGTTCCCTGTGTATTTGAGAAATAAGTGCTTTATCAGAGAAATTTCCCCCCAGGTTCCTGCTTTCCTTTTAGTTATGGCTGCAATGGTTTTGTTTGTACAAAACCTTTTTAATTTCATGTAATCAAGACTGTCCATTTCAAAAACAAAAAAAAAAGATTGTCCATTTCACCTCTTGTGAACCTCTGTCTTTTGTTTGGTCGTGAACTCTTCCCATATCCATAGACCTGAGAGGTAGTTTTTCATATATTTCCATAATTTGCTTATAGTATCGACCTTTATGTCTGATCATGTACCCGTTTGCACCCTATCTTAGTATGTGGTGTGAATATTCATCAAAATCTAGCTTCTGCCAAACCGTTTGGTAGTTTTCCCTATGGTTGCTGTTGAACAGTGACTTCTTGCCCCAGTTGCTGGCATCTTTGGGCTCTTCAGACCCAAAGTTATGGTGCTCATTTGCTTCTGTATGCTGCGTGCCCAGTTCATCCATGGAGTGACCTCTCTGTTTCTTAGCCAGTATGAGATGCAGAGCAGCCCTTGGCGTTCTGTCTGCAGCCCTTCCCCGCCACCTGCGTCGGAGGCTGTCCTTCCCAGCCTTGGCTTCTTAGTGTCTTTCATCCGTCCCTGTCGCTTCTGCTGGAAATGCTTTGCTGGCTCGCCAGGGCCCTCCTTCAGCATCCGGGTCCATAGTTCTGAGGTCCAGCAGCAATCGCGTGCCCCGTGGGGTGAGCAGGGCCATTGTTTGTGTTTCCAGTGCTCACCACTGCCCCTTACCCAGAGGACTTACTGAATGAGGGGTTATCCTGCTGCATCTCCCTTTTCTAAACAGGGAGTTGGTGAGAGGCTGCCCCTTCCTGGGGAGAAATGGCCCTCAGTTCTGCTGTGGTCCCTGTGTCATGCTAACAGTCCAGCCTGTAGGCCTCATGCTCCCTGGCCCCTTCTCATCCCCTTCCTCCTCCTGGGCCTGCAGCACTCGTGCCTGTGGACCTGCTCATTTTGTCCTTCCCCAGGTGTTTGGCCAAGCTTGGGTAGTAGCAGGCCGGTGGCATTTCTGACTCAGGTGGCCGTGGATGGTCAGAGCAAAGTCACGGATGATGGAGAAAATGCTGGCGTGGGTTCGGTCGTTTTATGCAGAAGTTGGGCCAACCTTATTCCTTTGCCTCACAGAAAGTGCCTCAGTCAGCTTGGGGTGGGGGGGGAGATTGCCAAAGGCTCCCCTGCCTTGGAAACATATTTATCACTGGTCCATTAATCATTGGGCAGTTATTAAATGCTTATTGTATGCAAGGGTCTGTTTTCAACCCTGGGAATTCGAAGAAAAAGCAAAACCAGGACCTGCCTTTGAGGGACTTATGTTCTGATGGAGGTGACCTACACACGAGATAGAAACTGTGTCCGTGGAAGTTAATCTCAGAGAGGAATGCACTAGCAGCTCCACAGAAGGTGATATTTGAGTGGGGTCCTGAGGGAGGAGTTGAGGAGGAAGAGTGTCTGGGACTGGGGGCAGCAGTGACTGCGCCGGCCCAGGGAAGGGAGGGAGAGTCAAATGTGATGGACAGCCGGGGCCCACGCAGCTGGGTTGTCGAGTGTGCATATATTAGGTGTGGGGGAGAGGAATGCAGTGTAAGAAGCCCAGGACAGGAGGAAAGGGCCAGGTGGTAAAGATCTGGAAGTTCCAGAGAATTTTGTATGTGATCCTGGAGGCCACAGGGAGCCACTGGAGTGCTGTAGGGAGGTCATTGTGGCAGGCTGAGTGGAGCAGGGAGATGCCCCCCTCCTACCTACCCCAGAAGCAGCTGTCGCACCAGTACAAGAGCGGGCTGAGGAGAAGGGGGCGGTGCTTGTGTGAGTGAGGAGAGGTGAGGAGGAGGTAAAACCTGTGTTGTCTGGCAGCACATTGGCCGTGTGGAGTGGGGGGAGTCAGGAACAGGGTGGCACAGAGCTACTGGGAGGACGGCAGTGCCGGAAGACAGGAGGGTCGGGTGCATCAGGAGAGAGGCCAGGGCTGCATCTGTGGTTGTGGAGAGCTGAATGAGGCAGGGTGGGGACGGAGAAGCCCACTGGCTGGGCAGGCGTGTTGGCTGTTCCTAGCTTGTGCCCTGGACAGAGGTCTGGCTGGGAGGGGGCAAGCAACGCTGCCCCCGGCCTCTTGTCACCTCTCCCTGAAAGCCTAGGGGTGTAAGTTGTCTGAAGAGAGGGGTTTGTTTCTCTTGAGACTGTGGAGATGTATGGAAAGAGTGAAGCTTATTTCTTTGGCCTCCAGGGGCCCAGCTTGGAGTCAGGAAAACTCGAGTTTGAATCCTGTCTCAGACACACTTACTGGCTGTGTGACCCAGGACAAGTCACTTCACCTGTGACCACCTCAGTTTCTTCGTATGTAAAATGGGGGAAAGAGGGAAGGGAATAAGCATTTATTAAGCACTTGAGCATCCCACCAAGCCTGAGAGGCAGGTGCTCTCATTACTGACCCAAAGTGCCCCTCGTCTGGAAGAGCTGAGTGTTCAGCAAGCATTCTGCATGGGGGGAAGGGGGATGTGACGTGCCCAGGCACCCCACCTACAAGTGTGTGAGGCCGGATTAGAACTGGTATCTTCCTGCGCTCTGTGCATGGAGGGGCCAGGGCGTGGCTTCCAGCCCCATTGTCCGCAGGCTGCTCCAGAGGGCTTTGGGCCTGGTTGGTTTTATGAGCTCCTTCTTCTTACGCAGACGCTAACCCCGAGGTGACAATGGCCTTACTTCGCTGGGTCTACACCGATGACTTGGAGCTCAAGGAAGATGATATCTTCTTGACAGAGCTGATGAGGCTGGCGAACCGTTTCCAGCTGCAGCTGCTGCGAGAAAGGTGAGTCACAGAGGCCCTGGGAACAGCCCTATCCCCTAAGAGGGAGTCCCTGAGGCGCAGTGAAGGGCTCCCCCAGGCCTAGCTGAGGGGGCCCCTGAGGCCCAGAGAAGGGCCCTCAAAGTCCATTGAGGGGCCCTCCCAGGCCCAGTGAGGGGGCCCCCAAAGCCCATCGAGGGGGCCCTGAGGCCCAGAGAAGGGGCCCCAAAGCCCAGTGAGGGGGCCCCCGAGGCCCAGAGAAGGGCCGTCAAAGTCCATTGAGGGGCCCCCCCAGGCTCAATGAGGGAGCCCCTAGGCCCAGTTACTCAAGACGGACTGAGGTCAGGGAAGCCCTACTCCAGGTGCAATAGGTCATGGTCTTTTAAAAATTCTAGAGCCATTACCACTTTTTAAAGACACTTCTCCTTTTTCTGACGGACTTGATATGGACACACAAACAGAACACATGAATGTTTCAGGATACAAAGAACAAGACAAAACACTGTGTGTGAGATGGTGGATTTCTATTCTTTAACTCATTTTTCCCTGACCAGTAGATGTTAAATGTAGTTGGGTTGTGACCAGATGAGCCCTGCTCGTCCCCGTCCTCTCCAGCAGGTGCCTCCACCTGCTCTCTTCTGCACTGTCACCGTTTTTCTTTTCTTCTTGTTGGCTGAAAACAAAAGGAGGTCGGGAAGAGGGGAAGGAACCATGAGAATGGCCAAGGGGCACCAGAGAAGCGGTGTCCAGTGGGAGACCGGGGCCTCCTGGAGTGGGCTTGACAAGTCCCTCTTGGGGCAGCCAGGTGGCGCCGTGGATAGAGCACCGGCCCTGAAGTCAGGAGGACCCCGGTTCAAATCCGTCCTCAGACCAGACACTTGACATTTACTAGCTGTGTGACCCTGGGCAAGTCACTTAACCCCAATTGCCTAAAAAAAGGAAAAGTCACTCTTTTATTCTAGAAGCAATAGAGGGTCACTGCGGGCAGTGGAGTAGAGGAGTGACCTGGTCAGGTCTGCCCCTCGTGGAACCTACTGGGACTTGGCTAGATTGGCGGCAAGGAGACCTGTTAGCTGCTGATGTCGATGTCATGGTGGCTCAGGCGCCCGGCACCTGAAGCTTGGTGGTGGGAGCCGCAGGGGCGAGAGCATGAGGCTCAGCACCTGGACGAGCCTGGGACGCTGGAAGGATTCCCTGAATAGAGGCAGAGAAGAGGGGAAGCCTTGGGAAGGATGTGCTGAGTCCAAGGTGTTTCTGGGATGCTGACTCCAGACTAGCAGGAAGACCTTCTGGGCTAGCCGCAGGCAGGGTGGTGCTGGGCCAGGGGCTGGGCTGGGCCCTCTGTCACTGCAGGGGCTCACGCAGAGGCTGGGAGGCCCCTCATGTGGATGGCGGGGGGAAGGCCTCCGCTGGGTGCCGCCCAGAGCCCTCTAGCTTCCATGATTCTCTGTAGCCTTGAGTGGGAAAGAAACGGAGTCATTTGGCCCTGTGACAGAAGCAGAGTAACTTGTTCGTGTAAGGAAGACGTGACACTGACCATATGACATTTGGGGACCTAGGAGGCTTTGGGCTTGGTTGGTGGAGCTTTGGCTCCTGTTTTGGCATGCATGTTGTTATTTGGCTTAATTTTTTAAAATATATATATATATATATTTTTTAAATTGAGAATCATTTGTTTTTCCTTACTCCCACCTCAATTCCCCTCCCCCTCAAAACTGGAGGGAGGGGGAAGCCTTGTTGTCCATAAGCACAGTGCAGTCCTCTGTGGACCATGGTCAGAAACATGCCGGGTCCTTTGCTTCGCAGTCAGGAATCATTCTTCATCATCAGTCCTCTGTAACGGCAGCTAGTCACTGATGTGGCCAGAACGCAGAGTCCTTGTTACTACAGTGCACCTGTTTTATGCCAGACACTTTACAGATATCGCTGGGTTGTAAGATGATCCTCCCAGCGGTCCTGGGAGATAGGATTTTCCATTTTACAGGTGAAGAAACTGAGGCAGTCAGAGGTGAAGTGACTTGAGGTAGTGTCTGAGGCTGGATTTGAACTCAGGTCTTCCTGATCCCAGGCCTAGCACTCTAAACACTGCATTACTTAGCTGCCCCATTATGCTTTCTAATTCTCTGAAATAATTTTCTGGTATGTAGTTTTGGCATTGACCTTAGGTAAATTAATTTAGGTAGTATCGTCATTTTTATTATATTGGGTGGTCCTTTCCTATGAGCAATTCATATTCACCAGTTATTTTGGTCCTTGTTTAGTTGTGTTAAAGAGTGTTTTTATAGGCAGAACCCAAATGGCAGAGTAGAGAAAGCTGAGTTCTCCTAACATTCTCTTCCAAACAACTTTAAAATAAATCCTCAAATCAGATTCTGGAGTGTCAGAGCCAACAAAAGGTCAGAGTGAGACATTTTTTCCAGCACAAGACAATATAGGAAGTAGGAAAGAGAGACGTATGACGCAGGAAAGGATGCTGGCCCAGAGCCCACATGGGTGGAACACCAGTGGTAGGAATAGGTGGTGGAGATGGAAGCAGCAGCAGCTTCAGGAATTCGCAAGCCAGAGACAGTAAGGGGACCTGGCAGCTGGTCAGAAAGAGATTCCAGGTGCCACTGTGCTAGCACTGGATGAAGGCCCAGATGCCGTTTGACAGCTCCATTGCTTGTACCCACTTCAGGGTCAGAGTTGAGGGGCAGGAGGAGCGCTTTCAGTCAAGAGTGAGGGGCAGTACCGTTTCAAGAGACCAGGGACCCTGAGGAATAGTATTGTTCCTGGTCCCAAGGGAAGAGGGGCCCTGAGGCATTGATTATAATTCCAAGGGGTCAGGACCAGAGCACGGACCAGGAGAGCAGTGATCACACCTCTCCCGGGCTCACACCACCTTGCAAACACTGAAAACTTGCAGATCTCCAGAGCTAGCTCTGAAAACAGCAGTGCCTAAAAGCCTGAAGTCTGGGACAGTTCCTGCTGCCCGCTGCCACGCTGGAAGAGGACCCAACTTTGACATAAAGGTGAAGTCATGAAATGGCTAGAAAATGATCAAACGGCTACAGCAAACCGCCCTGACCATAAAAAACAACTGCGGTGCCCAGGAAGACCAAGACAGACTCAGAAGACAGTGATGAAACAGCTTGAAGCAAAGCCTAAAAAATGTGACTTCTGAGTAAGTCCAATAAGAATTCTTGGATGAGATAGAAAATTATTTTCAAAACCGAATTAAAAATAGTAGAGGTAAAATTGGGGAAAGAAATGAGAGCAGTACCAGAGAATTACGAAAAGACAACGAGCTGTCTCTTGGTAAAGGCGCAGAAAGCGCTCAAAGAAATAACTCTTTAAAAATTAGAATTGTCCAAATGAAAGAAGAAGCATAAAAGCTCACTCAAGAAAAGAATTCCTGAAAAGGAAAGAGACTTCTGCTTCCAGCAGCCAAGATGGCAGGGTGAAAAGGTAGTCGCTCTCACTCTCCCCTATCAACCTCTGAAAAACCAGAAAATATCACCCCAGAAAAAACCCTGGAACAACTGAACTAGAAGAAAGATGGGGAGCAGCAGTGCAGCAGCCCAGCAAATGGGTCACCAAGTGCCTCAGCAAAAATAAGGGAAGCAGCACTACAAAGGGCCCCAGGTGGATAAGCACCCTGCAGCATTGATCTGAAAGGAGCTGAAGAAAGCAACAGAGTATTCCTAAAGTCCCAGCCTTGCTGATTCCAACCCAACACAGAACCCTATAGCCTCCGGCTGTCAACCAGGAAGAGATCCTGAAGCCCAGGTGGTAGAGCAGGCAAACACCAACACCTGGACCTCTGAGTGCCTCAGTGAGGGCGGGAAACCAGAGGAAACCATCTCAGAAAACCACCAGGTGCCTAGGCACTCTACCGCAAAGAAATCTCCCAGTGCATTAACAGAAATGAGGGAGGTAGCATTGCAAGGGGTCTTAGTCAGATAAACAACCTGCAGTACCCATCTAAAAGGAGCTGAAGAAAGCTAAAGGAAAGGAAAAGCAGGCAACCTAGAATTGCCTGAAAGTTCCAGCCTTGCTGATTCCAGCCCAAGAAAAGAATTCCTTAAAAATTAGAATTGACCAGATGAAAAAAGAAGCACAAACCTCACTCAAGAAAACAATTCCTTAAAAATTAGAATTGGCCAAATAGAAAAGGAGGTACAAAAGCTCACTCAAGAAGAGAATTCCTTAAAAATTAGAATTGGGCAAGTGGAAGCTGGTGACTGCATGAGACATCAAGAAACAATAAAACAAAGCCAAAAGAATGAAAAAAATAGAAGGAAATGTGAAATATCGTGTTGGAAAAACAACTGACCTGGAAAACAGATCAAGGAGAGATAATTTAGGAATTGCTGGACTGCCTGAAAGCAATGATCAAAGAAAAAACCTAGACATATTTCAAGAAATCATCAAAGAAAACTGCTCTGATAGCCTAGAACCAGAAGGTAAAATAGAAATTGAAAGAATCCACCAATCACCACTGAAAGAGGTCTCAAAGTGAAAACTCCCAGGAATGTTATAACCAAATTCCAGAGCTCCCAGGTAGAAGAGAAAATACTTCAAGCAGCCAGAAAGCAATCATTCAAATACCATGGAGCCACAGTAAAAATCACACAAGATCTAGTAGCTACCACATTGAAGGAGCAGAAAGCTTGGAATAGGATATAACAGAAGGCAGAAGAATTGGGATTACAACAAAGAATAACGTACCCAGCAAAACTGAGTAAAATCCTGCAAGGGCAAAAAAGGGATATATGACAAAATAGAGGACTTTCAAGCTTCCTGATGAAAAGACCAGAGCTGAATAGAAGATTTGACTTTCAAATATAAGACTTAAACATTAAAAGGTAAGCGTGAGAAAGAAATCATGAGGGACTCAAAAAGGTAAAGCTGTTTACCTTTCCATATGGGAAGATAATATGTGTATCTTCTAATGACTTTATCATTATTAGAACAGTTTAAAGGATTCTGCATAAAAAGAGGATGTGGGAGAGAGTCAATTATTTTGGGATGATGTAAAAAAA